TAACTGTTTCTTTGTGTTTAATTTGATGTATAAGCAGTAGTTCACTTGATATTTCATAGTATGTATTGGAATGACTTTGAAATGCATAAACTGGACTGATTGAACCTATTTCTACAAACATGAAATATTAATTGTAATTAATCTGAGTTGGTGATTACTAGTTATGAAATATACTGTATTTAATTTTTTTTTCAGTAGTCGTGAAATAGTTTCAAATAGTTTGTCACAAAATAGGTTCAAATAGTTTATGGAAATCAGCATGTTGGTTTAATAGGTCTAATTCTGAAATTGCAAGTTCACTTGAGCAAATAACATCATTTTAAATAGCAATGCAAATAATGTTAGTAACTAATGTTAGTTCTCAAATGTTAGTGATTAATGTTAGCTTGATGACAGTTTTTAAGCATTGATGCATTTTTCAACAAATCGTAAAAAGAGCTCAAAAAAATGGCTTTGTATGCCACATAGTTAATTCTAATAGTCCAATTCATATAATAAAGTTAGGTTGAACTGAATCGAAATGGTAGTTGGTTTGTTAATATTTACAACGGCAGGCGGCGGATCTTAAGTTAGGTAGCGGGTTCAAACTAGAAGGTGTTTCCTTTCGTTTGGACCCGGACTTGAACTTGAAGCCCGAACTTTTAATGCTAATTGATTAGGATTTTCTTTATTCTTAGAGACAAATAAATAGAAAATCATAGTCGCTTTAGGATATCCTTGAATAAAAATGAGATGAGCCTCGCCGAATAAAAAATACAAAATTGCGGGGCCCTCAATAAATATTTATTTTTTAAAAATATTTAGACTTAGGGACGGGCCGTTTAGCGAATTTCACGGCCTTCCCCAAAAGATAATAACGCGCAAGTCACTTCCGGCGCGCTTTAAATAATTTACTCTCTTAAACTCGGGTGCGCATTTATGTGACCCAAATCCAAATCTCAACAGAGTTGAAATGTGTCAATAACCACGAGTGCATTGATGTGACGTGGTTCGAGATATATTTTTATGATATTGCAATTCTCGGTAAAAATAATAATAATAAAAGCGGTACACAGTTAAAATTTTCACATAGGTTCAACATGTATTAAAATCAGATAAATAAGCCGAATATGACAGTTGAGCGACCGTGCTAGAACCACGGAACTCGGGAATGCCTAACACCTTCTCCCGGGTTAACAGAATTCCTTATCCGGATTTCTGGTTCGCGGACTGTAATACAGAGTCAATCTTTTCCTCGATTCGGGATTCAACCGGTGACTTGGGACACAATAAATCTCCCAAGTGGCGACTCTGAATTAAATAATAAATCCCGTTTTGATTGTCCTTTAATTGAAAAAACTCCATTTTACGCCCCTTTGCGGTGGCGCGGGTGAAAAAAGAGGTGTGACAGCTCTGGCGACTCTGCTGGGGAGCGAACCCAGAACCTCTGGTTCAGGGTTCAGAATTCGAGCTTAGATAAATTGTTATATTTGGCTTTGTTTATTATCTGATTTTTACATG